AGCAGAAAGCCACCAATATAAAAAGCCATTTTAGCTGCCCCATAATGAGGTCCTCAATTATGAACCTTTTGCCTGTTTAAAGTTCAGATGTTTCTGCAGCATCAATGTGCAGTATAACATCCATACAGCAATGAAAACGGCATTTACCGCACACAGCAAAGCAAAATATGATGACACCTCACTTCACCCGCAGACAACCACTTCCAGCTCAGGTCAGAGAATTAAAATGGCTCATTCTTTCCTAGCAGGATTAGGGACCCCAGCGCTGCTGGTAGGAGAAGATCTGAACTCTCATCCTATTCTGCCAAGTAGAAGGAAAAATGAAGTCATCTTCTTTGTAATCATAACTCTAGACTCACGCTGTTCGCTGCTTACCAACATCCCCAGACACAAATACCTTGTTTTCAGCACACAGCATGACCCCAGCATGAAGCTAAGGAAATCACATGACTGAGAGCCCCATCTAGTCAGGTGACACAATGGATAATCTGATTTGTTGACCATAGAACATTAACCCATTTAGGGACAATGGTCTGCGGTGCAGAGCATGACAGGCCCCTCTGCCTAAAAAGGGGTTAATTGGCACAACCCAATGCCACCGCATTCCAGAATTGATGAGGGAAGAGGCTTTCGGAGAGTAGAATGGCAGACGCTAGTAAGAAGATTAGGGACGTTGAATGCGATTGATGACAAGGCAGTTTTCTAATTGTGCTCACAATAGATACCCTGGAACCAAGGAAGAAAATGGCCGACATAACACAGATAATACTTTTTAAAGAAAACAGCTACGAGATTATATGGCAGACGCGGAGTAAATCCTCATCAGATAAAAAAAAAAAAAAAAGGACACATAGTATATGGAAAAAAATACTGGGCGTTTGTAAGCAGTATAAAACAGATCTATAGAGGGAATATTCCACTGGGACATTCCTAACCAGAGATCAAATGGAATTTGGAACACTTTCAATGTCTAGTAAAGTAACAAAGTCAGGAAGACAATAAAGACCCTACCCCAGCTAAGACCACCAGAGACCATCATACTGACTGCCAGGCCTGGACAAATCCCAGGAGCCAGGTCACCAATGCTCCTTAAAAATTACAGCTGGAACTCAACTTTTGAGGTTCTCTCTAGTTGGTGTCAATGGTGTTGGCTCATTTAAAAAAATAAAATTGCTGGCTCCTGAATTGGACCAACTGGCTCCTGAAATTCGTTCACCTCTGCTGACTGCAGTAGAGTCATGTTCTTCTATGGACTAAATATACAGCTGAAGAGTATTTCTGGACTTCATGAAGATCAATGAAGAGCTTAGCATTGTTATCTTACAGCACTGGGGCAGGAGTTAAAAATCCCACCAGGCATACTGTATAGAATTGCTATGCATTTCTGCGATTTACTTCGGATGCTTCCAGTTTAATATCATGGACCAAAAATTAGGGATGCACCGATACTAGTACTCGTCCAAATGCTCCGATACCTTTCGCTCTGACCGGCAGTGCCATAGGGGAACATGCAGCCGGTTTCCTGAGCAATCAGTAAGCCAGGGGGCAAGTAATAACCCGCCTCTCGGCTTTCTGATTGGCTGGGAATTGGGCTCCATGCGGATTGGCTGGGAAGCCGGCTCCAACCACTACTTTTTGCTAGGGATGCACCGATACCGGTTTTTACAGATATTTTGCTTTTGGTACGTGCCGATAGAGTACTGATACTGGTGCTTCCGCTGGCATGGAGCCAGGAAGCCAGCTCCATGACAGCGGAAGCATCGGCGAGTACCAAATGCGAAATATCGGTACTCTATATCGAAAAACCCTTATCGGTGCGTCCCTAGCAAAAACCTAGTGGTGGGTTAAATCAGACAACTATTGTCCTTAGGTTTGGGATGAGCGTAAAAAGGCTGAAAGTCAAGTTTTCATTGTAGTCCATGTTACAGTTGGGAGGTTTTCCCTCACGTCTATGCTTCGGTGACAGAAGTGGAGAGGATCTCTACAACGGAGACCCATAGAGCAATAAACACCTGGGAGAGGGTCTAATCCTTACAGCACTGTTGGGCAGGAGATCCCTTTATTTCCATCATTCAAATTGGTCCTGGTGTATACATGCTTGGTGCAAGTATATTAGACTGCAAGCTCCTAGGGGTACAAGAACTACTGTGGAGGAATGTATGTACTGTGTAAAGGGTAATTGTACTAGAACAAAAAATTAACAAAATGTACAAACAGAGCAACAATCCCGTTGAAATTTCCTAAAGGAAATGTTGCCAACAGTTTAAAAACTTCTACAAACGCTCCTGCTGAGCCTACACATCAAGCACGCAGCACACCGTTCTGGAAGTAAATATCTATTTCTATAGACATGCAATGTGTCTGCAGTCCGATAGTGGAATTTGTACCAGTGGCCCTATAAGAGATCCATTTTTATAGCGGTCAGGTTACTAGAGATGGTCATGATAGAGATATGCTTGTTACAAGAGAATGTTAAAGGCTGCGGCCATGTCACAGGAGGCAATGTCCATGTTATACATTTAACATCTTAAAAGGCAAACCAGTGAAATGTGCATTTTGAAGCTGAACTCCACCTATAAAGTATTTTGCATGCTTACATTGGCCCAGCTTAGCGCAATGCAAGTATGCATATGCCATTCCTGATGGGCCCACAGGGATCCTGTAAAAGACTAATAGCCCAAGCTACTACATTTCTGATAGTGATCCTCTGGGTCTTGTATGGTGCTGTGCTAAGCAGCAGAGGGGAGGCTGCTCAGGACTATTCCAAACCCAGAAAATCATGGTCAGTACAGTGCTTTGCAGGATCCCTGTGGGCCACTCAGTAATGGCATATGCACCATTACAAACCTGGAAAATCATGGTCAGTACAGTGCTTTGCAGGATCCCCGTGGGCCACTCTGGTATGGCATATGCATACTTATATTGGGCCAATGCAAGTATGCATAAAGCTTTACATCTAGTTTCAGCATTAGGTATGAAGTAACCAAGACTCAACTTTAAACCTGGAGTACTGTACTGCAACCCAACGACAGGGATCAGATGTTCTTGAAGGGCATTTCCTAGAAGACCACAAAACACCATGTACCCAAATGAGATTATAAAAAATAAAATATGTTATATAAACTTGTATACTAAAATTACAGCAAATATATGTGACCGGAGTTTTTCTAGAATGATTAGACATACAGATATTATGAAACACCCCGGGCTGTGGTTTGCCATTAGGCAGATAAAATACTGTGTTATGTCTGTATGTAGATTGGTGCGAATACTATGCACTAATATGTATGTTATTTAAACTTTTTTTCTATAGAATAATAAATCATGTTTTTAAAAACACAAAATTTATGTAACAATGCTTTGATGCCTCATATGAAACCCCACTTGTTTGATTTTATTATTTTTGCCCAGAGTTCTTCATTAAAGCAAGTTAATACATGGCATACCACAGCCCACCAGTGTGAATAGGACCTCACAGGAGTCCTGTCACCAGAGCCATGGAGCCACGACTGCAGACGTTTACTCCTTAAAATGTTATGTCAGTAGTTTAAAGTAACACACGGAACATTTGCAGAAGGTGGTGAGCAATGGTGGCCCTTGTTCGTCATATATATTTCATATTCAAGTGAAGTTTTCAGCTGCGTGCAAGCCGTGTTTTACCAGCCGGTTTGGGATGCCATCAACAAGTGATAGCACTGCAAGGACATTTTTGCCACGTTGCAACGTGAAGGTGTGATCCCAGGATTATACTTAGCAATTGAGACAGTTGGTGCACAGAACACTGCCAGAAATGTAATTTCCCCCTTCTGTGATTGGCTGACTGATTTTCCCCAGACGTCTACACTAAGGACTAACATTTATTTCCTATTTCTTGCAATAGGAATGTAATTTTTGATGATACTCCCCAAGTGCTACTAACCACTACAGGGATGCCAACACTGCAACTTTCCTCATTACACCACAGAAAGTCCCGATGATTAGAACAAACCCAACCCGCCTATTCAGGGATCAGTTTGGAAAGGACATGGAGAAACAGCTATTGCTTCAGGATAGAAAAAAAAAAAAAGGTGAAATTTGCAACATAGTTTGTTAAAATCCTTGCAATGGCATCACCAAGAGAGGATTGATTTTTTTTTTTTCCTCAACAAAAATGGTGTTATGCATTAAAGCCTAATTGAATTGAAATGCGCTAAATACATTCCAGGTATTGCATGGTCTTGCATTTCTGTTTTGTTTGCTAAAGCAGTCACAGCCACAGTAGAAAAGGCTGTCCCCTGCCAGCATGCTGTAGAGAAGGATCTCTGAGTGGAAGCAGTGGACTCTCCTTGACGACATTACCACCGCCCCCTTCCCCCATTTCTGATAAGGAGGCTCTCCTTGACATGAAACTCTCCCACCCCAGCAGAGTCCTCCCATTTCAGATCAGGAGTCTCCCCTTTGCATCAGAGTCCTACCTTACACATGGCGCAGCAGAAGGCAGAGCCGGTCTGGACAGAGACAGACTACATAGTTCTCTCCCTCTTCTTGTTGCCTGCCCTGCATTAGTGACATGCAATTCCATAGTGCCATAAGCCAGCCACCTGCACCATGAGAATATATGACACTGTGCAAATAGACAGACTTCAACCCTTATTGAATCAAATACATGATGCTCAGGTTTTTGATCCCCCCCGGCTGATAAAAGACTGTTTTAGAGGTCAGATAAGAAACTTATTGGATCAGACCTATAACTCTGCAAGCAGTGGAGGGAAATGCCCCCAGGTGTACACAGACAGCATACCATCTATGAGTGGGGGGGTCAATCCTTCCCTGCGCCATCCAAAACGGCAAGGTCACTCTATAGCTGCACTTTAATGAGTGAATGTTAACACCTGAGAAAGACCAAAGTCTGGAGCCAGAGACAATGAGCACAGCCATGATGTCCCCCATCTCTGACTTCCAATAGATGCGGAGACCCGCCCCAGACCAATACAGACACAGCGCCCCATTTATCTACTCACAGTGCTCGGCCAGGACAATAACACGGGCACAGCGGACAGCACGCTCCTCTAATAAACAAGCGCCTGATTGGCCCGCTGAGCAGCCGCCCGCTATCTGATTGGACGGGAGTGACGTTTGCGCTCCCACCATGCACCGCGCTGTTGACGGCTGACCAAGATGGCTGCGCCCGTTATCGGCGGCATGAGCGGTAGAAATACGCCGGCTGGGGCTGAGACCAGCTTTCGGAGGAAGACCCGGGCGAAACTCCCGGCTATCCGGGGGACCCGACCGTCCGTGCATAACGGGCAACTTCTGATTTCCAGCGGAGTTCCCTCTATGGATCACATCCTAGGTGTGTGTGTGTACCTGTCACTGGCTGTCATGATAGCTGACACACCACATGATGAGGTCTGGCTGTCACTTTCATAGGGGGAGGGCATCTGTACTGCCAGAAGGATTGAGGCTGCCATTGCTGATCTCTATTTAATGTGCCAGACTGTATAGCTGCTGCTCTTTCTTAGAGGAATATTCCACCTTCTATACCGTGTTCAATATTATACCCATACTTAGGATGTAACATGAAACAAGGTGCCATTCTGCTGCCCTCCACCTTTAATCTTTCCCTCCCCCGCACGTATCTGAATTGCAGAGTTCTCCTACCTGCATGCTTCTGTATATACTTTGCTCCGCCCACAAATCTGCATCATCCATTCACACATCCAGGGATGAATGGAAAGGCTACAAGTCCCATCTGTCACTACGGCATGTCAAAGGAGTACTGGTGCAGTGATGTGACCGCAATTGTAGTCCAATGATAGCTTGGGGGGAGGGTATCGATTCCAGGAGCCTGTGCACTGCACCCAAGATGCACTGATCAGGGTTGCAGTGGTTTGTAGGTGCCAGTGCAAAAATTAAATCGTATATATGGCCAAAAGCTAAAAATAAATCTGTATTTCTATATTGAAGTTCTCTCCCACTGCTAATAACCAAACTGATCTAGAAGTTTGTAAACTTGCTTATTGAAGATGCCTATAGGATGTACTTTCTCAATGCACTGACATAATTTTACTCTGCCTTATCAATATGGACTTTCTTGTGTTATCACTCTCACAGAGCCTGTCTTCCGAACTACAACTCAATGTCTGAACAATGTAACATTGTCATTGCATGTTTAAAGCAATGCATGATGGGATATGCAGACTTGAGAAATGGAGATTGCACCACATCAAGCAGTAGGGAAGGAGATGCGAAGCACACTGGGAATCCAGGAAGTTGATGTATACTTAGCTTTCGGTAATTGTCCTTTCCTAGTACCTTGACATGGCAGCATACCGTTGATCCATGCATGCTGCCATGTCGACACCAGGGAAGTGAAGGGTAGACAGAAGGCAGGACTCGCTACAAAAAAGGGATTTTTTTTTCAAGTAAGCTTTGATTGTATTATCAAACACAACTCTAGTATGTATTCCTATTACCATGCTGATGTTATAACAGGAGAGTATATGCTGGGACTTTACATGTCCATTAATAAATGCACATTTTTTTTTTCTTTTTGCAACATGGGTGCATTTATTTATTTATTTATTTACAAAAATTGGAATGTGACTTTAATTGGTTTTTAAGACTCTGTCCCATAATATGTAGATTGACAGTCCTGATTTCACTTGACTTGAGAAGTATTGAGGCTAGAGATAGCCAAGCAACTAGCATTTTCAGGAGGAGCACTGCAGTGTCTTCATATTTCTGTCAGGTTTCCTTTAAAACTGAACTCCAGATTAAAAGGGACACTAAACTCAGGAGTTAAATCTTAAATATACATTCAAATATCCTAACTATTAACAATATTGCATCTTATTTGTGTATCACTCGGCTGTAGATCCTCAAATCATCTCTGAATTGGTGCTGACACTGTCCTTCCTTCTGGAGGGGGGGCTACTTTTGTTCCCCATGTTTCCTGTGTGTCTTGTAGTCACCGCTCCAAACTCACTCCGGGATGGACTACAATCACACTTTTAGTTGACTAATTTGTATTGAGATTGTAGTCAATCACAGGAGCGAGTTTGGAGCGGTGACTACAACACACACAGGGACCATGGGGAACAAAAGTAGCCACCCTCCAGAAGGAAGGACAGTGTCAGCACCAATTCAGAGATGATTTGACGATCTACAGCCGAGTGATACACAAATAAGATCAATTTTTGGTAATAGTAAAGGTACTTGGATGTATTTTTAAGACTTAACTCCTGAGTTTAGTGTCACTTTAAGCTGCACTGCAGGGTTATTTTTTTTCTTTTTCCTGGAGTTCAGCTTTAAAGGATCTCTAAACACGAGAACTAAAATATAAATTCCAGTTTACCAATCCTTAGATGTGACATCTGAATTCGTTTTCCCTTTTCAGACTAGGAATATTTTCAGCAAATACAGAAAATACCTGCTGATCCTGCCAGAAATGTTGTGTCCTCACTCCTTGTAAGCTAAGTTGAAAGCACAAACAATGTTATCAGCTTTACCTAAGCTGATAACAATGTTATCTTCTCCCCTGCTGGACTACAACTCAACATCTGCATTCCGGCACTACGGTGATAACGCTGCTCCTTTTATAGATACAGTACAGATAGTGAGCGTTGTTACTCTAGTACAGGAAGTGTGTGACTTGCAAGATCACTAGGTGAAAATGAAGGGGGAAAATCCAGAAAAAATAAAATGAATGCAGCCACCACATGTGAGGACTAGTAAGATGAAATATGTAACATTTTCGGTTTTGGGTTTAGATACACTAAAACTGTCCTGAGACTCTCCCGTTGCTGTAAAGCTGCAATTTATGACAAGCAGGGCAGAATTCTGACTCATTTAATACACAATAAACTCACAGACTGGGGTTCTGCTCAGAGACCTGCGGTATGTTTCTGTTGACTCACACTTAGGGGTGAAAGCATTACTATCTAACACAGCAGCTTCATGTAATAAAACAACTCCCTTGCAATGAGTAAGGGGTAAAGCAGCTTTGGGTTGGGCTGCACAAGCGGATTCAAAAGTGAATTGCAGATAGGCTGGCAAATGCAAGTCGCAGGTACACATTAAGGGGTCTATTTATAAATATTCCGCCCAGCCATACTGGGCGAATGTTTTTAGCTTGGCATTCTCGCCACTAGATGGAGCCGAGGATCATTTCTATGCTCAGTTACCTACCTACAAATTAACATGACAGCCACTCAGGTTCATATACATTTAACTCGGCACGTCGCATTTAAAAAGAGGGTCCACTTATTGACATGCTTATTAAAGTCAATGAGACAGCACCGCAACTGTGCTGCCACGCTGTATCTTAATCTAAAGTTAAGGTGGCAGTATTGCCTATTAAATACCTGCAGACTGCTTCCCAACCACCTTTGAAAAGCGATCCACCACAAATAGCTTTTAAGAGGGGCAGTAAAATCCACTGTCTGTGTGAACAAGACCCTACAGTCTCATCCCCAAAGCCCAGTCCCCTGCAAACCTATAGTACTTCCTGCATATTGTCATGATTTACAGGGTTATTCACAAAAGGGTGAAGGGTTTGGAGAAGGCAGGAGAAGTGAACAATCTAGGCCAAAATAGCTGATTTGGAAAAATTCTCCAATTCAGCTCACTTTCCAGTTCAGCTATGTTGTCCTAGAGTGTTCACGTCTCCTGCCTTCTCCAAACTCTTCACCCTTCTGTGAATAACTCTGTTAGACTAGCCTTTCTTAACATTTGAAGAAACCCTTAGCTCTGGAGGAATCCTGGAAAATAATGTAATTCTCAAGGAACCCCTGATGAAAATATCTACAACTCACAGTAAATCAGCATTATTAGTAAGTTGTAGCAAAAAAGGAATGTGGCATGCCTAGAATATTTAACAGCCAGGGTGGAGCATTTCACAACACCCTCCCGCTCTGTATGACAAATAATTTTCTGTAATAATCATGAAAGGAAATAATAATGACCAGAAAAGGAACTGAAGAAAGTTGAAGTGTACCCTTACCCTAGTGGTCATTGGAGAAATGTCTACTTACGTTGTCGGTCACTGAAGTGCCTCCCTTACATTGCTGGTTAGTGGGAAAGTGCTCCTTTACATTGCTGGTTAGTGGGAAAGTGCTCCTTTACTTTGGTCTTCAGTGGAAAATTGCCCCCTCATTTACAGGACAATTCACAAAAGGGTGAAGGGTTTGGAGAAAGCAGGAGAAGAGAACAATCTAGGACATAATAGCTGATTTGAAAAAATTCTTCAAATTAGCTCACTTTCCAGTACAGCTATGTTGTCCTAGATTGTTCACTTCTCCTGCCTTCTCCACACTCTTCACCCTTTTGTGGATAACCCTGTTAGTGTTTAGTGGAAAACAGAACCCATGCATTAGTGGTCATAGTGGTCCTCACTTACATTGGCAATCAGTGTATGAATGACCCTTTACATTAGATGTTAATGGAAAATTCCTGCTTTACATTGGTGGTCAAAGTAGGCGGGAGATCAGTCCACCACTGCCCAAGAACATCTAGCACCCTCTATATGAACCTTGGGCTTCCACCGCCTGTTGTAGCCGTAAATAATGTAAACCAGTCGGCGACATGTAAACTGATCAATAAATGACAATCTTAGCAATCTATAGCTACGTTTAAACTACATTACTTTAAGTGCCTTTGTTGGCACCACTGAGCCAACTAAGACTTTACATCACAGACAGGCTTATTAAACAGAATTACCCAGCAAAATCATTCTAGGTAAGATCTTATTGGAAATGTTCCATGAGATAAATTTCTGAGGTGCAAAATGTGGTAAGAAGGGGGCCCGATCTCATCTTCAGGAGCTGAAATTTATTACAGGTCAAAATACAGATCTCAATTGTAGAAGTTAAGCTCAAACCCCTCACTTCCCACTTAACTCCCCATCTGGATGTTACAGACTGCTATGGGACAATAAAGTGTTAATAAATAAGGGCTTCTTTCATTAAGAGGAACTTCAGTTTAGATTGAGAAGTTGTTTCAGAACCAAGGACAGCTCTTCAGTCTTATTAATGTTATACTAGGTGTCCACTCCGTGGAGCTGAAATAATATACAGTTCTGATCTTCCAGACTTTATTTGGGAAAGTGGCTTAGTAAAATAAAATAAAAAAGCAGCTTGGTCCAGGATATGCAAAGCAAATATTTGTTTATATGTTTATGTATTTCCTTTTTTGTTTCCTTTTATAGGTGGTGGTCTAGCAGTTGGAACGCTACTTTTAATTGGTCAGTAATTTTTAATTTATTTTTGCATTGATAGCATATCTTGCAGTGTATTGCTCCATGCACTTGGGTGACTGCCTCATACTGTTTAATGCTGTGTACCTCAGTCCATCTCAGGTGCATTTGCCTAGAGATGTTATTTACCTGTGTGGTAGATCACTTGGCTACAAGAGCAATAAAGGGGAAAAGAAATCCAAAAAGTCAAAATTTGTATTTACTTTTTAATAGTCCTAGTTGACTTTGTATATACACTTTCCTAGTTGACCATGTATATACACTTTCCTAGTTGACCATGTATATAGACTTTCTTAGTTGACAGTGTTCACTTCTCCTGGGCTGAAACCATTCCCACAAGTCCCCCCTCCCCACAAAAGAATAAAGTGGAGTGCAGTTATTTTAATGGTGGGACATAGAAAATGTGCTCAGACCAATTCAATCTTTATGTATCGGGTTTGAGGACTGACATAGGGAGCAAAAACAGAGGTGACACCCAGACTGGTCAAAGCACTCTTCCCTTGCAGTTCTGTACAGTGAATGGGACCCTACTGAAAACACTAGGTTTTGGAAAAGGACAAATTCAGTAATTCTCTAAAAAAAAAACCCTCCCTATTCCTCTATTACACTTAATTGAGCCATCATCCCTGCAGGTGCTTACCTTCCTCCTCCGACAGCTGCAGTCTCTCATGTTGTCTACATTCTGGCTCATAAAAACCTAGTGTGGGGCTGCCCACATCTGTGCACTAACATGCCATACATTTTAACAGAACATAGCTATACTGCATGAGCAGGCCAGGAATAATATTTTACAGTCTAGGGTGTAGGCAACGCAGGAGGCAGCGGACATTGGAGGAGGTAAGTATGCACCTGAGTGAGAGATGGTTGTCTACTTTTAGAGACTTATTGAACGCGTCCTGTTTTGTTTCACTGAGGAATGCATTAGAGGGCATCTGGGATTAACAACCTCTTAAGGTAGACCTGTCATTATGGACTAAAGTAGCACCAGAAATACAGCTCTGCTAAAATTTCTACTGCAGGGCCCCAAAATCTGAGGCTTTGTAATGCAAATCTCAACTGCAGTATATAAAGGCCTGCTTTTTCCTTGCCACACTACTGGTGAGTGATCAGTAGTGAAGTGTACGAGGGCTAGAGCTTGGCTTTCTGTAATGAAGTTAACATTTGCATAACAAGGCATGTGGGACTCGGGATTTGGGGGGAAACAGATGAGGACATCTCCTTTTAAAACCTGCTGCTGAGCGCTTCTTAGCAAGAAGCGCTTCTCATTGGTCAGCATGGTCAGGTGACCACCCTGACCAATGAATGCTTGCAATTTGCGAACGAAATTCAAAATCCATAGCTCAGGGCTGCGCTGGGTGGCAGTACGGGTTATGGACAGTACACCCGTACCGGCAGAGGGGTAGGACCGTTCGCTGAAAAGTAAGTATAGCGGGGTCAGAGGTGGCCAGATTTGAGCGGGTAATTCCATTTTCCCACAATAATTTAGATGCATACTGGTACCGTTAACTTTAGATAGCATTGCAACTACAATCAGTGAATTAGGGGTGCAATGCACAGGCTCCTGCAGACTATTCTCTCAGCCCCAGTACTGTACTGAGGTAAAGACCTACAGTTAGGAAACCGAAGGAAATTATCAATGGACTACAAGTTTGGTGACATCACCGCACGTGTACTTCATTGAGAACTATGAGTCCTTCTGCCACAGTGATAGATGGGACTTGTAGTATTTTCATTCACAGACCACGTAAAATAAAAAATTACACAGGAACCAGTGTGAAGAAGTACCCTGCTATTCTTTTTAGTAGGGTGGGGGGCTGCTGAATCGCCCCATGTCCCATGTTATACTCTTATTATGGGTGTAAGATGGAATATGGTATTTAAGGTGGAATTAGCCTTTAAATAAAAATCCAGTTAGTGTGGAACCCAAAGAACAAGAATACGGATATGGATTGTTAAGCATGTCTTTTTTTTATGATTTTTGATGCTGTGTAATCCTCAACAGACTTCTAATTTTCAGCCATATAGGAATATTGTCACATTGCGAATCAATACTTGAGTGATTCCACTACTGTCTGCATCATTAGAGGATTAAATAAGGTGGCTGAACGCAGTGTATATAAAAATGTGGTTAGTACTCCGCTCTCAAGGGCAATTCCACGCTTCAGATATGTCTAAACATTACATAAATATGCCTAGCCTATCCAATAAAGCGTATGGAAAATACTTAACATATATTTGCATGAATAAGTTATTTATTTCTCCGTCATTTACTAATGTTGCAGTCAATTTGCTCTCCTTACACTCGTAACATATCCATTCTGGTGCCAGAAAAGTTGCAGGCGTTAAAGAGACGCACGCGTCCGTTACGTCAATGCCAATCTGACTTAGTGAGTTTTGCTTCCAAAACATTTCGCTCGTAAGACATTTCTGAAATGAACATTAAATGATTTAAGCTTGCCTTTATTATGCCAAGACCAACAAATGATTCTCACTATATGGTTCAAAAGTGTAATGGCATTATTTTATTTTTTTTCTTCCTGGAATTCTGGATCATGGTCCACTTACTTAGGATTGTTGTGTATGAATCATTGAGGAATATTGTCTGCATTGCTGTCATTGCAGTCAGGCTGTAGGTGTTGCAAAAAAAAAATGTAATCTGTTTCAAGCCCAACTCTGGAGACAAGACAAAGGCTACTCTTGCAGTGTCCCTGACATAACCCCCCACATACACACACACTGCAAGGGTTAAGTGAATGTCAAGGGATAGAGGAATAGGGAGTAATACTTTATTCTTTGCACCAGCATGATCCGTCCACCCGTGCAAGTGATCCCATTGGAGCCTTCTTTCTAAAGTGCTCCTTCGATTGAATCTATTGCTGAAGAATAGTTCTTCATAGCAAAGCACTGAAAGTCAATACTTTGGTTTTCTATTTACAGAAGACATGACAAGACGTCATGTATGCCATCATGGCACCTGCTGTCAGCCTGGCTGTAGTAGGGTAGACCTGGGAAGGGCCTTGACTTCTGTCTAACATTAAAGATATTTCACCGCACTCCAGACCGGCATCTCTCCTGCTGCTAGGGTACCTCCACAAAATGGAGAGGGAATAAAAGCAAAGGTAGTAGGCCACGGGAGAGATCCTTATGGTGTAGCAATTTGAAAGATAGCTTGATACAATCAGAGTATGGCACATATTGCAAATGCCTTGGGCACCACTTGAAGGGGAGGAACTACTGACCCATGGAGACAGATGACTTTTTATCTCTCCCCACCCCTCTCCCATACACATCTCACCACCTGGCTCTTATCTGTAAAAAATAAGTCAAGACAACTGGACTTGCTGTATTTTTCTTAAAGACGTTTCACTTGTCGTCCAACCAGCTTTCTCAATTCAGAATCCCAGCTCATCACTGGTTGCCAGGAGATGGGTGGGGCACCGGCCAGAGCCTCCCAGGTTGCTAAGGACCAGGGCGGGGCCATACACATCTCCCCACTTGGCTTTTAGCAACCAGAGCGGGCAGGGAGATGTGTATGCGGGCAGGACACCAGGTAGAGCATCCCAGGTTGTGAAGAGCCAGACAGGGAGATGTGTATGGCCCTTACACATCTCCTCGCCCAGCTTTTAGCAACCTGAAATGCTTTGGCTGGCGTCCCGCCCAGCTCCTGGCAACCAAGCTGGGTGGGTGCCAGTGGCGCAATTAGTTGTGGATACAGCTCTGGATACAATGTACGAAGAAAGAAAATGCAGTCATGTACATCTGTTGATAAACTTAAAAAAAAAAAGGCGTCAGACAACCTGGTGTAAGAGCCTGCAGAGAATATGAGCTGTCCCCGTGCAAGAGCAGTTGCACACTATGGCTGGTGTGGTGATCCATATACGTCTATGGATCTTGGTGTGTTTATAGTTTATAGAGGTCTTGAAGCCCCAAAACATTGTGAAGTAGTGTCAGCAGAAACACCCGTATGTAAGGGGTATCCTTGCCAGCTGATTCTTCATAGAGTTGATGTTTATTAACCACAGAATAACATAACAACACCATCAATGTGTTTTGTGGCAATATATTGGCCACTACCTCTACATGGTGCATGAGGCACTTTAAACAGTTGTGATCAGTCCCTTATGAAACATCAACTTTATGCTTCTAAGGATATCCATGACATTCAGATGCCTCTGCTGACACTACTTGGCAATTTTTCAGGGCTTCGAGACCTATAACTCCCACTGCTAAGCCCAGCCACTACCATTCAACTGTCAAACTGCAGAGCCTCATTTACCAGTACAGGCTCTCTGTTTGACATCTAAATGGCAGGGCTTACTATCACGAGGGGCAGGGTTAAGCACAATCTTAGACAAAAGTGGAAGACCAGAAGACTGCGGGTCCAAACTTTTTGCACCCCAATTGGAGAAAGGAAATGCAGTGACGTGTTCACCAGCCGCCCTATTAGTGTTTTTTTTTAACTTACCATATAGAGCTTATTAAATGTTGATGGCACAGTAAAAGCGTGACGAAAAGGTACAGTATATAGCTAAAAGCAGGTCTGGAGAAATTCCAGGTGCCGGGAAGCCAGTGTTCCTTAAAAATTATAGCTGGCTCCTAACTTTGTTTTGTTTTGATTTGTTTTTCTCGTTATGTCAATGGAACTGGATTTTAAAAAATCCTGCTGGCTCGTGGAGTGGACAGACTAGCCCATGAATGTCATATTAATTTGTCCACCCCTGACTAACAGTATAGCATTTAATCTTGCATGACAGCTGGATTTCACATACGTAGAATTGTTTTGCATCACGTACAAGGTACGTCTGTGTATAAAATGTATTTCAGTACATCGTTGCATGACGGAATAAACGTCAGTCAAAGTACCGCAGCGCTGAACACTGAAAAATGGCCTGGCCAGGAAGGGGGTCTAAACACCTGGTCTTGAAGTGGTTAAGAAACACTCTATTTAAATAATAAAATACAAAACAGACATTAAGCAGTACACTGCA